AATGCCTTAAAAAGTAAATCATATACCAGGCAAGCTTGGTGGTTCATGCTTGTAACCTCAGCATTCCGGAAGCAGAAGCAGTAGGATCAAGAATTACTGCTAGCCTGGGCTACATAGCAAGATCCTGTGTTTTAAAGAAGAAAAAGAAAATCTCATGTTTGTAGTATATGCCTTGTGAAATAAGCAAACGGTGAAACGCTGAATGAAAGGACCCTTGGTGTGTGCCTGGACAGCACAGGAACGCAGCAACCTCCTGCTGTGCAATGGGGTTTATCAGAGGTGCTGCGCCTAGGGCGGAAGCCAGATGCACCAAGGTGCACCTGAACCCTGCTTTCTAATGGTCTGTTCCCAGAGGGGACATTCGCCTGCTCATCTGTCAGCGAGCAAGCTGTGCGCATGCATGGCTTGTGAAGTGTTCGCTGAAGAGATCTGTTCCTCTCTTATCGGAGGGGAGGCCAGTTTTCCACCTCTGATGCTGACTTTTTTGGCACAGGGACAGTGAGGGACAGCTGTGAGAGTATGTCCTGTTCTTAAAAGGCTCCTTACTTATCGGGAGGCGCTTCCTTCTGCTGCTTCTCCTAGCTCTTTCCTCCCCCTCAACACTATTACACTAAGGAACTTTTCCCATTGTGTCTTCGGCAGGCACTGCTCTCTTCCCTCATCTAGTGCCTGCTTATTAGAACTGACTGTGCTAGGGTGGAGAAAGGGTTTGCCAAGCAAGCCCGATGACAACTGAGTTGATCTCAGAAACCCATGCAATGGTAGGAGACACACTCCTTAGATTTGTCCTGTTATCACACTTGATGGCAGGTGCCTTTGCCCACCGCCGTGTCACCAGCTCCCCCCATTTTGGGGACTGTGTTTCAGACACACTAAGGAGCCCATGAGCTTCCAGGGCAGTTTTCCTGTCTCCACCTTCTGCCTAACCTTGCCAGTGCAAACTACCATGTCCGACTTTTTGTAGATTCAGGGATATATGGAGTGCCTCTCTCTGCTGAGCCTCCTCGCTGAGCCCGTAGCTCTGTGTGACTGCTGCTCTCGCTTTGGCCCCTTGCACGTCCCTGATCTGTCTCCTTCGCAGACTTCCTCTCCCTTCCTGTAGACATCCGCAGCAGAATACAGAATTCCACTCTATGTTCTGTACCTCTTCTTGTCTGTCTTGCCTTCCCATTTGGCAAGCTTACTTTTTCCAGGGACTTAAGCCCTTTTCAAGTACTAAGATTTGAATCAAGTCAGTCTGGCTCCGCGCCCAAGCGGTCAGCGTTGCCTTTCTAATCCCAATGCAGACAGGACATCAGAGTCATCCGCCCCACGTCCCTCTCTCACGGCTCCAACTGCAAACACTGCAAACACTGTCCATCTTATCTCGGGCCCCTGTCAGGTTCTGTCTCTCTCTCTTCCTCTCTGTTCTGGCTCCCTCTCTCCTTCCGGTGCCTTAGCTCCCTCTGGTCTTCCCTGTGCTGCCCTAAGTGCCCGTGGTCATCCATGCTAATGCAAGCTGATCGAGTCACTCTCCTTAGACCTCCGCTGGCTGATTGTTCACAGTGTCCAGCCTCCTTGTGTGGCCACAAGGCCTTTCATAAGCATGGGCCGTGTGCCTCCCCAGCTTCGTTTCCCACCATTGCCCCTAACCACACTGTCATCCTCCTTGGCCAGCTCTCCACATCCATCTGTATACCTGCTGCACTTTTTAACTCATTGCTCACTGTACTGGCCACCCTGCTAGGCATGCAGGCATAGGGGAGTGCGGAGGCAGGCCTCCTGCCGAGCATGTGGCTAAGAGAAGACTGGAGTCAGTGTGGGGTAAGGGGCTAGCTGGATGAGAGGAGGAACAGTCGTCTACTCCTCGGCCTCCTCACTTGTGGCAAATATTTCCTCCCAGTGCTGGGTGCTGGGAACATAGCAATGGACAAGAGAGGTCAGGAAGTCTGGCTTCATGGCAAAGAAGTGGACAGCGTTAGTGTTCCTAGCGATGGACAGCAAGTGCAGGGAACCTGTATCTGTCCATAGCAGGATTCTCAGCCCTGCCGTGTCACGTGGTGACTTAATGACATCATGATGTCAGGTCTTTCCCTGGGGACATTAACCCTGGATCTTTTGGAGCGAGGCCTGAGCACATAAGTGTTGCTAGGGCCGAAAGCCAGGGTCTTGTACATGGCAGACAGGTGTTCTACTGTGGAAATATATTACCCATCCATCAGTGGTTTTGTTTTTTTTTTTTTTTTTTTTTTTTTTTTTTTTTGAGACAAGCTCTCATGTAGCCCAGGCTAGCTTCAAACTTGCTGCGTAGCACAGGCTGGCTGTGATCTCCTCATCCCAGGGTTCCAGGTGTGTCCTTTACACCAGCAGCGCTGCAGCACCTCTCAGGAGTCTAAGTCCCCAGCCCAATGTGAAGGTTGGAGGTAAGGTTTGGGGGTGAGCAGAGTCCCACCACCCTGGGTCTTAGAAATCACAGGGGACACTTTGCACTTCATGCTCAAGATGCTGGAGCCCCTGGAGGATTTCAGCTGAATAATAAAAGCTCCATTTTCTCCCCCTTTGCACCCTAACACAGGGTCAGGCTGGAAGCCCCAGGCAGCCCAGTTCAGGGTTGAGCCAGAGCAAACAGGTGTCAGTTCAGAGATTATTGCAGGAGCTGAGGGAATGGCGGGAGAGTTCTAGTGGACTAGACCCCACACAGTGATCATGGGAAGCTTCCACTGGGGGAGGTGAGTCTGTGAGGATCATGATGCTTGAAGCTGTGAATAAGGAGGCAGAGATTTTGAGAGAGCCAGCAGGTTCATGTTGGACATGCGTGCTCCTATGTCCCTCTACCAGGGACAGCATGACTTACCTTCCCCACGTGACAAGACACTTGCCTCCTATGTGACCTGTCACGAACCTCGTTTCTGGAGAGACTGTGTTCCGCCTTCTTTGTCACTGGTGTGTGTCAGTAGGGACGCCACTGTCTGCATGTAGTTATCATTTCCCCATGTATATATGTATGTGGTACGCATGCTTGCGTGTATGCACATTTGTATTGGTGTGGTTGCATATGTGTGTGCATCTGTATTTGGAAGTTGGCATCAGGAGTCTTCTGGGATAGCTCTCCACTTTATTCTCTGAGGCAGGGTCTCTCAGAAAGGGCTGGCCTGGTTAATCAGCTTGCCCTAGGGATTCCTGACACCAATTTTGAGATCTAGAATTACAGGCAGGCTAACATGTCCACTAAGCAGACCTGGGTTCAATTTCCAGCACCCACATGGTGATTCACAGCTGTAACTTCAACTCCTGGCATTCAAGGACACAGGCATACATGTTGCAAAAACATATACATAGCAAACACACATGCACATAAAATAAAATAAATCGTTCTTTTTGTTTGTTTGTTTTTTCGAGACAAGGTTTCTCTGTGTAGCCCTAGCTGTCCTGGAATGCATTCTAAGTTGAACTCACAGAGATCCACCTGCCTCTACCTCCTGAATGCTGGGATTAAAGGTGCGTGCCACCACAGCCCAACTGTGTTTCTTTGTATAGGTTATCATATGAAAAAAAAGTTTGTCTAAGGCTTAATAGTCAGACACTTAGTTCAAGCCCCTGGCACCAAAAGAAAGAAGGGGAAAGGAAAGAAGGGAGGGATGCAACAGGCATGTGTTTCTCTTTCCTAGGAGTCTGCGGTGTGTGCATTGCACTGGTGTCTGTGTGTGAACATGGCTTGCTGTTTTCTCTCCCCTTTGTCATGAATTAATTTCCTCAGGTGACAAAGAACAGCCGTGAAACAAAGGCTGTAGTGAGGGTGGACATTTTGAGGGGAGGTGATGCTAAGGACAGCAGATGACTTGTGACAAAAGTCTGATTCCTTGGGAGCTTGAGAGGGTAGCCATGCCCCGCCATGTCCTTTTGTGTGTACATGTGTGTGCAGGCCAGAGCTCAGTATTAGGTGAATTCCTCAGTATTGTCTGCCTTGCTTTTATTTATTCGCCCCCAGGCTTTATTTTTCTGTTTTAATGATGTGTAATTGTGCCCCTGCTTGTGGGTGCAGGAGCAGGTGCAGGTGCACACAGATGAGATCAGATCCCCGGGAGGAGCCCGAGTTCCAGGGAGTTGACATAGGGCTGGGAACTGAACTCAGGTCTTCTGCAAGAACCATCTCTCCAGCCCTTTTCCTCCCTTTCCCCACCCTCCCTCCGTCTCTCCTTTCCTTCCTTTCAGTATTTACTGTGGTGGGGGGCATCCACGCAGAGGTCAGAGGGCAACTTTCAGGTTGAGGTGGGGTCTCTTGTTTCTGTTGCTGAGCACTGCAGGCTAGCTGACCAGGGCTGAACGTAGTTTTCCTGCCTCTGCCTGTAGCCTTTTCTGTAGGAATTCTAGGGTTAGAGGTGTTTGCCTCCACACTGAGCTTTTTTTTTTTTTTTTTTGATTTATTTATCTTTATTTTATGTGCATTGGTGTGAAGGTGTCAAATCTCGTGGAACTGCATTTTCAGACAGTTGTGAGCTGCCATGTGGGCGCTGGGAATCCAACCCAGGCCCTCTGGAAGAGCAGTCAGTGCTCTTAACCACTGAGCCATCTCTCCAGCCCCCACACTGGGCCTTTTACATGATTCTGGAGATCAAACTCGGTCCCACCTGCTTGACTAATTTTGCTTACTGAGCCATCTCCCAGGCCCTACCGTATTCTTAGAGACAATCTCACTAGGATCAGAGGCTGATTAACTCGGCTTCCAGAGAGCCCGAGGGCCCTTCAGCCCCATCAGTGCAGCAATGGTGCGCATGCGCGTCCATACTTGGCTTTTTATGTGAGTGCTGGGAGTCAAACTGAGGTCCTCACGCTTGTGTCCCGAGCCCTTTACTGTCTGAGCTATGTCCCACCCACCCCGTTTCTGTTACAGTTCGTTTGTGTTTGAGACAGGTTCTCTCTGTGTGACTCGGGTTGTCCTCCATCTTGTTAGCCTCTGACTTGGCCCCCCACCGACTAGGATCAAGGTGAGCCTGTCATAGCATATTCTTTGCTGTTCTTTTAGAACATGAGGAGTTAGCATTGATTTGAGGCAGTGTTAGTTTATTGCACAGGCTATGCAAGGTATAGGTATAGTGTATACAGATCTTCTTCTGCATGGCTGGAGAGATGGCTCAGCAGTTAAGAGCACTGACTGCTCTTCCAGAGGACCCAGGTTCGACTCCCAGCACCCACTTGGCAGCTCACAACTGCCTGTAAACTCGTTCCAAGCGATCTGACCCCCTCACACAGGCATACATGTAGGCAATGCATCAATATATGTAAAATTAAAATAAATTGAAAAAATTTTTGCTTAACAAGAGGCAGAAACAGGGCTGGTGAGATGACTCAGTGGGTAAGGGAGCTTTTGCTGTCAAGTTTGATGACATAGTTCAGTTCCTAGAGCCCCATGGTAAGAGGTAAAAGCTAGGACCCATTCCCAGAAGTTACAGCACCTGCAGGCGCACACACACGCACACCGTGAGTAAGCGTGTAAGCGAGAGAGAGGCAAGACCAAATATCGTAAGGGATGGGCGCTTGTTTTCTGCTTATAATGCCAGTACTTCTGTGTTGGTCAGGGCTCGCTAGAGTAACCAAACCTATAGAATAAGTGTGTGTGTGTGTAACAGTATTTGCTAGAACTGCTCACAGGCTGAGGTCCAGCCTATGAATGGAAGGCCCGGGAATCCATAGTTGTTCAGTGCACCAGGCCGGGTGTCCCAGCTGTTTTCAGTATGTTCCAGAATCTTGAAGAAGTAGGCTCTAATGCCAGGGATGGACGTGCTAGGAAGGCGAGAGCAAGCGGGCAGAGAGCAGAGCTTCCTTCTTCCCTGTCCTTATGTAGGCTTCCAGCAGAAGGTGTGGTCCAAGTTAAAGGAGGATCTTCCCCCTCAGGAGATCTGGGTTAAAGTGAGTCTTCCTGCTTCAAATGATTGAATTAAGGAAAAAATCCTTCCCAGGTGTGCCCATCCATTTATTTGGGTTTTAGTTGGTTCCAGATGTGGTCAAGTTGACAACCAAGAACAGCCAGCATCTTCTTTAAATCATTTCTCTTTATTTTAAAATTTGTATTACGTTGATTTATTTGTATGTGTCTGTTGGAGTGGGAGGACTTATGTGCTGTGCAAACATGAAGATCTGAGTTCGAGTTATAGAAAAGAAGAGGGGGCGGGGCTTGTCATGGTAGTCCACACTTAAAATCCCAGCGCTGGGAAGGCAGGGGTAGCGGACGCCTAGACCTTGCTGACTGGCCAGCCTAGCCTACCTGGTGAGTCCTGGCCTGTGGGAAATCACATCTCAAACGACAAGGTGGGTGGGGGTCCCTGAGAAACAACACTTGTGGCTGTCCTCTGGCCTCTACACACATGTCTGAATACTTCCAGACACAATCTGACGGTGTGTATCTACGCACACACCTGTTCTCATGTACACACACACACAAACGCACCCATGGTGGATGGTGCCTGAGGAGGAGTGACACTTGGCATTGCCTTTTCCTCCCCACTCCACAAACTAGTCAGGTGTTGTGGTTCACGCTCGGAACTCCAGTGTTTTAGAGGCTGAGGCAGGGGAATTAAGAGTTTGAGACCAGCCTGAGCTACAGAGTGAAACTCTATTTGTTGTTCTTTGTTTATCTTTTTTAAAGATTTATTTTATTATGTATACGGTGTTCTGTCTGCATATGTGCCTGCAGACCAGAGGAGGGCACCAGATCTCATTACAGATGGTTGTGAGCCACCATGTGGGTGCTGGGAATTGAACTCAGGACCTGGAAGAACAGCCAGTGCTCTTAACCACTGGACAATCTCTCCAGTGGTTTTGTTTGTTTGTTTGTTTGTTTTTTAACAGTTATACAAGGAGGGAGAAAAACAGTTATGAAGAGGAAAAGAAGAGAACTGTGTTAGTTGGGATATAAGACATGCCTCAATTAAAAAATTACTTATTTTCTGTGTGCGTATGGGTAGCCATGCCACAGCAGTTATGTGGAAGTCTGAGGACTGCTTATCTGTCGTACTCCTTCCCTGTGGGTTCCGGGGATCAAATTCAGGACTACAGGCCTGCTGGCAAGCAACTCTGCCGCTGAGCCATCTTGTCGACCCTATGCCTCAGTTTTTTGGGGGAGGGGTGAAACAGGAACATTGAAATAATTCAGGCATTGCTTCCTGTAGGCTGCCGCCTGAACCTGCTGGCATTCTCAGCTCCACACACACAGGCTGAAGAAGGCATCTCGCCTGAACATCCTAAGACAAGAGAGCACTTTGATGTCCCTTTTGTCAGGGACATGTTAAGTATCTGCTACCTCCAGCACCAGCCAGGTGCTTTGGCACAACATAGACTCAATAAATGGCCACTTAGCGTACCCATGCAAGATGCCGTGTCTGTCCCTGGGGAGATGGGGAGGTATAAAAATAGACCAAGTCTGGTCTCTCAGAGGCTCACAGTCCGGGGATAAACATGACTAATTATGTCACGCGAGGCAGTGTGTGTTATCAAAGAAGAGGAAGTTGTTTGGACACGCAAAGGAAAGAGGAGTGAGGGGAGGGCAGGCAGGGGAGGTGCCGGAGGAAATGAATGTCACAAAAGAGGAGGGGCTGGAACAGCGCTGGTGCCAAGAATCTTGCAGGCTTCCTGGGGGCTCTGGAGAGCTGACAGGGTTTTCAGCAGGAGCTCCTGGTACCTGTGTTCAGGAAGGGAAAGAGAAGGGTTAGAGCTGGGTAGTGCCTGGGAAAGACTGCTGCCCTGGATCCCTGGATAGACGACCCCGCCAGTGGAAATGAAATGGAGGCCACTTAAGAATAATTGGTGCTCCAGATTCACAGGCCAACCTGTGAATTTATAATAGACACAAACTTCCCCAACCTCTGTGTCTGCTGACTCAAACACTTTTTTTAAAATATTTATTTATTTATTATGTATACAATATTCTGTGTGCATGCCTGCAGGCCAGAAAAGGGCACCAGACCTTATTACAGATGGTTGTGAGCCACCATGTGGTTGTTGGGAATTGAACTCAGGACCTTTGGAAGAGCAGACAATGCTCTTAAGCACTGAGCCATCTCTCCAACCCTCAAACACAAGTTTTAAAACTGAACCACATAACCAAAGGATTGCTCGGTGGGCAGAGCAGTAAGGTGACAGAAATGGGATGGTCCAAGAGGCATTTTCCTCAGTCCCCGGGCGCTTCTGCCCAGTTCCACGAATGAAGCTGCTCCCCAGTGAGCTGTCACTCCCTGCAGAGACGCGCCGCTGCTTTGACTTGCGCTGGAGAGGCCTGCGTGCTTGAGTGAGAAAAGGTCAAATTCTTCGTTTTGTGTGATCATGCAAGCTTGTAATCCCAGCACCTGGAAGGTGGAGGCAGAAGGATTCCCACAAGTTCAAGCCCAGCCTGGGCTATATCTTGAGACTCTAGCGTCATCTAAAAATAAATAATTTTAAAAAGAAAGGGAGAGAATGAGGGAGGCTCGGTGAGTAAGAACACCAGCTGCTCTCACAGAGGACCCGGGTTGGATTCCCTGAACCTACATGATGGCTCACAATTGTGTAACTCCTGTTCCAGGGGATCTGACGCCCTCTTCTAGCCTCCTCCAATACCAAACATAAACGATAGTACACATACATACGTGCAGGACAAACGCTTGTAAGATAAAAAATAAGTCTTAAAAAGAGAGAGGGAACTTGGAGGCATGAGAATAAGGCTCAGTCCCCAACCCACAGCTAGAAAGGTGGGCAGGCCCAGAGAGCCTGGTGTGCCACTGTGGAGTGCCACTGGGCACAGTATTTTCCTGTCCCCTTCTACACTCAGGATCTGCCTCTTCTCTGCTCTAAGATGGTGGTCTTGTCCCCTACTCTTTGTGTGCTCTTGTGTGCATGTGGTGACCAGAGGTCGGCACAGGTGTCTTCCTCATTTGCTCTTGACCTTTTTGAAGGACAAATTCAACAGATATTTACTTATGTGTGTGCATGCATGCCAAATGGCACATGTGTGGAGGGAACTCGGGAAAACATACCGGAGTCAGTTTTCTCACGTGTGGGTCCTGGGGATTGAACTCAGGTCCTTAGGCTTGGGACAAGCATCTTTTACTGGGTGAGCTATCTTGCCCGACCCAGTTTATTTATATCTTATTTTATGTGTTGGGGGGCATGTGGAGGTCAGAGAGCAACTTTGGTATATTGTCTCCTGCCACCTTTACTTGGGCTCAAGGGGCCAGACTCAAGCTGCAGGTGTGTGTAGCGGGCGTCTTTACCTGTGGAGCTGCCTTGCTGGCCTTCTTCACTTTATTTTTTTATTTTAAGTATGTATAATGTGTTGGGGGATGATTCACGTGTGTGCGGGTGTGTGCAGGTGCCCAGGGAGATGGAGGCAGTGGGTGTTTGGAAGCTGTTGTTACAGATGTTGTTACAGATGTGAGCCACTCAGTGTGTATGGTGAGGACAGAGCTCAGGTCCTCCGCAAGAGCATTACACTGTCTATGTATATATTGGTCTTGCTATGGTGCTCTGTGTAGATCAGGCTGGTCTTGAACTCACAAAAATCTGCCTGCCTTTTCATCCTAAGAGCTGGGATTAAAGGCATACACAACCACACCTCCTACACACAAGAGCAACAGACTGTTAACTGCTAAGCCATCTCTCCAGGCTGAACTTTATTTTTTAGACAAGATCCCACATTGAACCTGGAACTCATTGATTTAGCTAGCCTAGCTGGCTAGGTATCTTTCTGTCTCTACCTCCCCAGAACCGGGTTTACAGGCCTGTGCCAAGACCTGGTTGTTTTTACATTTGTACTGTAGATCTGAACCCAGGTCCCCAGGCTTACAAAGCAAGTACTTTCCATTTCCCCAGCCTCTGCTGGATTTTTTCATAACCACCTGTCGTAGTCTCTTGATCTCACAAGGTTCCACATTATCATGAGTGCAAGGAGTGTAGACCCATGTTTGCAGCTCAGAGATTCCCCAGACTGCCTGCCAGCACCCCAATCCTCCCTCCACCCAGACTGCCTGCCAGCACCCCAATCCTCCCTCCACCCAGACTGCCTGCCAGCACCCCATCCTCTCTCCACCCAGACTGCCTGCCAGCACCCCATCCTCTCTCCACCCAGACTGCCTGCCAGCACCCCATCCCCTCTCCACCCAGCACTTGGTATAGTTCCTCCTTTTTTAGGGTCTGCCTCCCCTCCCAGGAGCATCTAGCCGACATGCTCCCTTTCTTTCCTATTGTCATCTTTTAAACCCACCCTTGGGACTGGAGGGATGGCTAAGTGGTTAAGAGTATCTGAAGACTTGAGTTTGGATCTTAGCACCCACTTGGTGGCTCAGAACCATTCATAACTCCAGTTCCAGGGACTCCAGCTCCCTCTGCTGACCTCTGAGTGGACAAGGCATGAATGTGGTGCTCATACATACATGTAGCCAAAATAGTCATACACATAAGATAAAATAAGCAAAATTTTCAGCCTGGTCTACAAAGTGAGTTCCAGGATAGCCAGAGTGATACAGAGAAACCCTATCCCAAAACCAAAAATAGGAATCTGGAGAATTGGCTCAGCCGTTAAGAGCTGAGTTGGCTGACCTGCCAGAGGCCCTGAGTTCAATCCCCAGCAACTACATGGTGACTCACAGCCATCCCAGATGAGATCTTGTGCCCTCTTTTGGCCTGCAGGAATGCAGGCAGGCAGAACACTGTACACATAATAAAATAATCCTTTAAAAGAAAAGGAGGAGGAAGAAAACCCCAGCTTTAAGCTGTTTCCCGCCACCTGCCTGCCTGCACAGAATGCCTCCCTCTCCCCTGGTACCCAAAGCATCACACTGGGAGCCTCCTTCAAGTCCCATATATTGTTTTCCTGTTGTTTTTTATCAGAACATTTGTAAGGACGTTGCGCAGAGCAGGTGGTACAAATGATGGTGCTGAAGATGAGTGGTGTGGAGAGCTGGCGGTGTTAGCAGGCGCGCTTCCTGTCTGTGGAGCTGCCCCCCTCCCCGAGACCACATCCATCTGTCGTCCGTTCATCCTTCCGTCCATCCATCCATCACAGGTACCCAGAACTGGCCACAAACTTCGCTGTTGCAGTTCACTTAGGCTGCTCTCATTTCTTCCCCGTTTCTCTCATTTGTTTGTGGTGATGGGGCAGCGTAATGACAGTAGAACTTTCGTCACCACAGCAGAGAGGCCTTGGCCACACCCGCCCAGGGGGGCTTCCTTTCTGAAGTGGCAGGAAGAAGGTTTTGAGGTTTTTGAATATTGCTTCTAAGGATGTGAGCAAAAGATTGTTTGCCCACATTTGTGATATCTTGGCAAGCTAGCAACCTCAAAATATGCTCTCTGGTTGGCTTTGTGTGTGGTTTTTACTTTTAAGGGGAGAAGAATTTATGCCATGGTGAAATTATGCTGAGTTAGAGTCCTTCTTTTCGTCTTTATTATTTTTTTTTTTAATTTTTAAAAACCTTACTGTTAAGGAGCTGGAGAGATGGCCCAGGGGTGGAAAGTCCTGGCTGCTCCTCCAAAGGATCCAGCTTCAGTCCCTAGCACTACATAGCCGCTCATAACCACCTGCAACTCCAGTCCTAGTACATCTAACTTCCTCTCTTGGCCGCCACAGGAACCAGGCATGCACACAACGCACAGACACACATGCAGGGAAATATCCATACCACACATAAAAATAATCTTTAAAAAATTGCTGCTAACCTCAGGGTTTAATCTAATATAACACTCAGATAACTGGAGAGTTGTCAATATGCTGTAACCAGGAAAAAAATATGCACACACACACTCACACTTCATACAAGCAGAAACAAAGTATCCCTTTTCCAGTAGTCTCACTTCTGCAGCTGTTAACCGCTGTGTAAGGACCGGAGGCTGTGCAGTTGCATTAGGGGGCAGGTGTAACAGATTGTTGCCATAGGCTGTAGAGTATATGTAAATGTCAGGTGGATACAGAAAAGTCATTATTAATATTTGTCATTGTATTTTTTGTTTGTTTATTTGAGATAGACTCTCCTGTAGCTCAGGCTGGCCCAGACCTCACTAAGTATCTGAGGCTAACCTTCAACTCCTTCCTCTACTTCCCAAGTACTGGAATTACTGTGTCTGCCACACCGACCCTCAGTTACTGTAGCACAAATAATAAAAACCCAGAGACAGATATTGGGGTTCAGGCTGAAGATCAGAAAAGCAAAGCAGCCAAGCCACTAGAGAGTTCTTGACCCTATCAAGGCTCAGACAAACTAAAGGGCGATCCTGCCCTCAGGGTGACTGCAGACTGTACTGAGTTCTGTCTCCTCCTGCCTTTTATTCCTCTCTCCACCCAGCCAGGGCACTCCTGTCTCCACCTCCCTGGTGCCGAGATTAAAGTCACCTTTGCAGGTACTCTGTTTCTCTTTTAAACAGATTCAATCTCCTGTAGCCCAGGGTGGCTAGAGTCCTGGGATTAAGACCCGTGAGCCACCAGTCCCTGGCCTCTGGTGGCCCAGCTCTGCACTCTCATCTCCAGGCAAGCTTTATTTATTAAAAACACAAATAAAATATCACTACAAGTTACTGATTTCTTCTAATTTATTTATTTTTATTTTATTGTTGTTTTGCCTGTATGTATGTCTATGTGAGGGTGTTGGATTCTGGAGTTACAGATAGTTGTGAGCTGCCGTGTGGATACTGGGAATTGAACCCGGGTCCTCTGGAAGAGCAGTCAGTGTTCTTAACCGCTGAGCCATCTCTCCAGCCTCCTCAGTTGCTGACTTGAAGCAGCGTTTTCCAAATGAGAGTGACCTCCATCAGTGACTTTGAAACCCTTTCACAGACACCTGACAGACAGGCTGTGTAGAAGTGACCTCCCGTTCTGTTCCCCTGAAACTTGCTCTGGCCATTGATGACACTGAAGGTCCGGTTATTCCCCTGCCCCATTCTCCATTTGTTGTTTGTTTGTTTGTTTGTTTTGAGACATGTAGCCCAGGCTGACCTAAGACTTTCTATACTGAAGATGAGCTTACAGACAGAAGCCTAAACTGGCCTTGGGTTTAGGCACCTGTATCATCATTATGGCCTGCTAGGGGCTGGAGTCAGGCCCAGCAGGAGCCTGCACTGAGCTGCACCCCAGCGAGGGAGTTGTGTTTTTAGCAACTCTGGCTAGTGAGGGGCTGGTGGAAGTGGGACATTTATATACAAGACTGGTGGGATACAGAGCAAGAGGCGGAGGTCTGAATGTCTGTGGAGAGGAGGGGCTGGTTTTGGGGGCGGCCTGGGGTGGGCTCATCCTTTGGAGGAAAGAATGGGTCAAGGTGGAAGGTTTGAACTGCAAATGTGAAGACCGGAGAGAAGGAACAAACTCAAACTCGGAAGCGATGGCTCCTTGAGTCCTGGCACTTCCTGCTTGTGGTGGGTAGGATTATCCCATCAGCTTGTATGCCAGGCCCATGTGAACACCCGTGCCCTTTGCCCTGTCGACTTCTGAGCAGCCTCCTGGTTGTGTTAGATATGACTCACGTTAACTCAGCTCACAAGGAGCTGACACACACACCCAGCTGGTATCTGATTGGTGAGATTCATAATGAGTAAGTGCAAGCCTTGCGAGGTGTGGAGGGTAGTTGTACCTTTGCTCGCAAGGTCGTCCAGCGATGCCTGGTTAACTATTCTGTTCCAATAATGATGGGCCTTTTTACCATGTGGCCTTTAATGGTCATGGATGTTAGACAGGCAGTGCCTCTTCTTGGTTTCTCTCTTTTTATTTTATGTGCATGTATGTGTGTGTCCATGTGTACATGTGTGTGCACACACGTGTGCACATACCCATGGAGGTCAGAAAACAACCTTGTTTGTCAATTTGTCAGATGCTGCCATGCTTGCTTTTGGAGACAGGGTCTTTTTTTTTTTTTTTTTAAAGATTTATTTATTATGCATACAACATTCTGCCTCGATATATGCCCGCACACCAGAGGAGGGCGCCAGATCTCATTACAGATGGTCGTGAGCCACCATGTGGTTGCTGGGAATTGAACTCAGGACCTCTGGAAGAGCAGCCAGTGCTCTTAACCTCTGAGCCATCTCTCCAGCCCGAGACAGGGTCTTTCTCACTGTGCTGGAACTTACCAAATAGGCTAGCCTAGCTGGTCTCCTAATCCTGCTTTAGGCCTAGTGCTAAGTTACAAGCTCATGCCACCAACACTTGGGTGTTTGTTTTGTTTTGTTTTTTGGCTTTGGTTTTTTTGAGACAGGATTTCTCTGTGTAGCAGTCCTAGCTGTCCCTGAACTCACTTTGTAGACCAGGCTGGCCTCTGCCTCCCGGGTGCTGGGTTTAAAGGTGTGCGCCATTTAACACCTGTCTTCTTAACGCAGCTCCTGGGGACCGAATGCGGGTCCTTGCGCTTGTGTATGCAGCTGCCTCAGTTTTCTCGTGACTGTTGCGTGTCTCCCAGGCTCTTCACTCTTGTCCTCTTTCCCGTTTCTATCAGACTGATAGTCTCCTTTCAGCCGTCTCAGTTCTGTGCTGTTGTGTTTTCATATTTGTTGTCTTTTAAATATTTATTATTTATTATGTATACAATATTCTGTCTGCATGTATGCCTGCAGGCCAGAAGAAGGCACCAGACCCCATTACAGATGGTTGTGAGCCACCATGTGGTTGCTGGGAATTGAACTCAGGCCCTTGGAAGCGCAGGGAATGCTATTAACTGCTGAGCCATCTCTCCAACCTCCAAATATTTCTTATTGTTTATTTACTTTATTTTATGTGCACTGGTATGAAGGTGTCAGATCCCCTGAAACTGGATCTTCAGACAGTTGTGAGCTGCCATGTGGGTGCTGGGAACTGAACCTGGGTCCTCTGGAAGAGCAGTCAGTGCTCTTAACCACTGAGCCATCTCTCCAGCCCTTGTTTTGTCTTGGACTTGCTATGTAGACCAGACTGGCCCAGAGCTCTCAGAGCTCCTCCTGCCTTAGACTCCAAGTGCTGAGACGAAAGGTGGGAACTACTGTGCCCGGCTGTCTTAGGTCTTTTTTGTTTTCATTTGCTTTTTAATTTTTAAGTTTTGCTGGCATATGTGTCGTTACCAGGTGTGTGTCTGGTGCCTGAGGAGGCAGAAGAGGATGTTAGATCCCCTGGAACTAGAGTTAAATACAGGTGTGAGCTGCCATGTGGGTTCTGAAGAAGGAACCCAGGTCCTCTGGAAGAGCAGAGGAACAACTTATAAATTTGGTTTACAGCCAAGATTTACACCAACTTGTAAATCTCCAGTGCTCTTAATCTCTGAGCCACCTCTCCAGCCCCTTGTTTTAGTTTTTGAGATAGGGTTTTGAGATGGCGCCCTGGCTTTTCTCGAACATGTAACAGCCTTCCTGCCTCTGCCACTGGCATCTCAGGCATGCGCTCCCACACTTCAGCTTGCCAGGCTTACTAGTCTCATTTTCACAAGGGCACGATGACTGGGCCAGCTCCTTGACGTGGACACCCTCCTTTTTTCTCTTCTTCACAACTAAGTCCTGTGTAACCCAGGCTGTCCTCGAACTCACTGCGTAGCAACCCTACTGTATGGCATTCTGCCTCTAGCTCCAAATCCCCCAAGTGCAGGGCTCACCTGCCACCAGGCCTGGCTGCTGCTGGCTGCTGACATTTTCCCTTCAGAGCAGTATTGTATACTGTCTGGCCTTATCCTCCTTCTGCCATCCCCATCCTCTTGGGTGCCTGGAGTTGAAGACTGTGCTTAAGAGAGGTAGGGCACGTGGGGCCTGAGCACTGGGAGGCGTCTGTCTTCCAGCAGCATGTGATAGCCCCTACCCCAGTGCCTCCTCCCCCTCGTTTTCTCTGTGGGGAAACAGGCTGGGAGTGTGAGACGGGAGACAGTGGGAGTGCTCGTCAGCTCGTCTGGGTTCTGTTATTCCTGGTCTTGGACTAGAAGCTTCTAGGAGTTTAGACTGTTTTTGAAAAGTCTGTCAAGGAAAACGACCAGCTTGAAAACTATGGCGTGACTTAAATAGCCCGAGCATCTAGAAGGTGCTTTAAAGTGTTCATAGCTGTTCACTTCACAGAGTACTAACGTAGGC